GGACTATTTGGGATCCTTAGACCTAGGCAAGCTGAGGGACACTACATTCTTGCCCTCACTTTATAAAGCCCCTCTTTTCTGGGCAGGCCCCTCCCTGAAAGATGAGGAGGCTATGGTGTGCCTTGAGTCTGCACTGTCCTTGCACCCCAAGCTCTGGTTTGCTTGTAATTGATTGTACTGAGGTGGCAGTGGGTGCAGTAGGTGGAGAAACTACAAGAGCTACACATCCTAGTTTAAGACCCCAGGCCTCAGAAGATAAGATGTCATTAGAAAGTTCAGGTTTTCTACTGCTCTGTCCTAAGCTCTTAAATAAACCACTGCTCTAGCTTACATTTCCATTTCTGCGGAACAGAGCTGGAAATACATGGTACTGAAAGGTGACAACACACTAGCAGCCCTCGCTCTCCGCGCCTTCTCGGCCTTGGAGTCCACTCTGGCGGCGCTTGAGGAGCCCTTCAGCTCCCCCACGGCACTGTGGGAACCCCTCTCTGGGCTGGCTGAGGCCAGAGCCGGCTCCCTCTGCTTTTGGGGAGGTGTGGAGGTAGAGGTGTGGGCGGGAACCGGGGCTGCACCCGCAGCGCCCACAACACCTGCAACATCCGCAATGCCCGCAACGCTGGCCTGCCAGCGTGAGTTCCGGGTGGGCGTGGGCTCGGCAGGCTTAGCACTGGGAGCAGGTGGCCCTGGCACCCAGGCAAGCCCCCTGGCAGTGAGGAGCTTGGCACCTGGGCCGGCGGCTGCAGAGGGTGTGCCGGCACTGCACTTGATTTCTCGTGGGGCCTCAGCTGCCTCCCCGCTGGGCAGTGCTTGGGACCTGCCGCCAGCAATGCCCCAGCTTCCTCCCGTCCGACGTGGGCTCCTGCACCTCCTGAGCCTCCCTGACAAGCACAGCCCCCTGCACCTCGGCGCTAGGTCCCATGGACCGCCCAAGGGCTAAGGAGTGTGGGCATACAGCTCGGGACTGGTGGGCAACTCTGCGTGCAGCCCAGGTGCCAGATCCACTAGGTGAAGCCAGCTGGGCTCCTAGGTCTAGTAGAGACTTGGAGAACCTTTATGTCTAGCTAAGGGATTGTAAATACACCAATCAGTACTCTGTATCTAGCTAACCTAGTGGGGCCTTGGAGAATTTTTCTAGCACTGTGTCTAGCTAAAGGATTGTAAACGCACCAATCAGCACTCTGTGTCTAGCTCAGGGATTGTAAACGCACCAATCAGCACTCTGTCAAAATGGACCAATCAGCTCTCCATAAAATGGACCAATCAGCAGGATGTGGGTGCGGTAGGCTAAGGGAATGAAAGCAGGCTGGAGCCAGCAGTGGCAAATCCGTTGGGTCCCCTTCCACACTTTGGAAGCTTTGTTCTTTTGCTCTTTGCAATAAATCTTGCTGCTGCTCACTCTTTGGGTCCATGCGGCCTTTATGAGCTGTAACACTCACTGGGAAGGTCTGCAGCTTCACTCCTGAAGCCAGCGAGACCACGAACCCACCAGAAGGAAGAAACTCCAAACACCTCTGAACATCAGAAGGGACAAACTCCAGACACACCGTCTTTAAGAATGGTAACACTCACCACGAGGGTCTACGGCTTCATTCTTGAAGTCAGTGAGACCAAGAACCCACCAATTCCGGACACAGTACCTCTCCTTTTCACTCCTTTGCTAAAAGAATGGTTCAGCTCAGGACCATAACAAATAGTGTGTGATATGGTGTGTGCTGCTTGGAGACAGATACTATGAGCCAAAAATACAAAGTAGTCTTGTTTGGCAAGTCATCCTCACAGTGATTTAAGGCACGGCCAGTCTCTCTTATTCTTATTGTGCCAAGTGTTTCAAAAACTCCACTAATTAGAATTTAAAGAGGGGTTGATTCCCTGGTATTCTTAAAATGATCTAATTTGAAAGTTGAAGATCTTTAAAGTTTTAATTCTCTTAGCCAGGCTGTTTTAGAATAGCAGCTATGTAAAACAGTATGACTCAGTGAGAGGCCAAGTCTTTGAGGAGTCTGGTGTATACTTTCTTGCTGCTAAAATGAGAGATTCAGATAATCCATGTAATGGGATTTGAGAGAAGAGAGAGATCCTCATGTGGTGAAATAGTTGGAGAGATCTCTTTGGAGGAGGTAATATCTGATCCCTACCCACAAGGGTAGACAGGAATCTGGAGAGGTGGAAGAGGAAGTCCAGCTTGCAGGTGGAACTGAATGGGCAAAAGCTCAGAGGACCATCTTTGAGGGTTTCCCCATCCCAGGTTCCTGTACCATCATGAGCCCTCCCTTTTTTAGTGACCCTGTTGTTTCTACTGTCTATGTCTTCAGGCTTTTTTGTTGCCCCTTAACCCATGTGTGTGTGTGTGTGTGTGTGTGTGTGTCAGGGTGGGTGTGAGGGGGTGGGTGGGTGTATTTGAAAAAGTGAAGTTCATTGTGTGGGAGAGGATAGTTTGAAATAACAAGCCTGAATTCTTTAAGAGCACAGTCTGCAGTCCTTGACTTTTTGACCTCTACTAAATCTTTCATGGTTAAACAACAGTGTTTAGAATATAATGTTGATCTGAATGGACTCATAATAATTTTAGCATGTTCAAAACTAGTGCTCTTTCTCCAGGAAGGGCATATTTATGAGAACTTAGTGGACGTGTTTGCTGAAGATGGCATGAAGTGGAATAGATTAATGACATTTTGTAAATGTTTTCTTTTCAAAAATGTATTTATTTTTTAGTTATAGTAAGAGTGATTGGTATAAAGTAAGTCATTTTTAATGGACTTCCTAGGACAGTTTAATTAGTTCACCAAAGAGAACATTGTTTTCCCCAAATTAGTTTCAGCACTGATATTAATTTGCTTGGGCTGCCATAACAAAATACCACAGACTGGGTAGCTTAACCCACAGGAGTTTATTTTCTGTTTTCTTTTTTTGAGATGGAGTTTCACTCTTGTTGCCCAGGCTGGAGTGCAATGGCACGATCTCAGCTCACTGCAACCTCCGCCTCCCAGGTTCAAGTGATTCTCCTGTCTCAGCCTGCCAAGTAACTGGGATTAGAGGCATGCGCCACCACGCCCGGCTAATTTTTGTACTTTTAGTAGAGATGGGGTTTCTCCATGTTGGTCAGGGTGGTCTTGAACTCCCGGCCTCAGGTGATCCACCTGCCTTGGTCTCCCAAAGGAATTCATTTTCTCACAGTTCTGGGGACTGGAAGTCCAAGATTAGGGTGCTGGTCACGTAGGTTTCCTCCAATGGCCAGAAGGGAAGCTCTGCTCCAGGCCTGCCTCCTTGGCTTGCAGCCGCTGCCCTCTTGCTGCCTCTTCACATGGTTGTCCCTCTGTGCGTGGGCTCCCTTGATGCCTTTCTCTGTGTGTCCTAATCTCCTCTTCTTATGAAGATTTTCTTCAGAATGGATGAGGGCCTCATTTTAACTTAATTACCCCTTTAAAGGCCCTATGTCCAAATATAGTCACATTCTGAGATACTGGGTGCTAGGGCTTCAACATATGGATGTTGGGGGTGGGGACACAATTCAGTCCATACAGCACCGTATTCACATTGTAGTACAGTAGGGGCTCCACACCCGTGGGTTCCACATCCGTAGATGTAGCCAATTGTGGATGGAAAATATTTAAACAAGAAAAGGATAGTTAACTAGATTTGAACAACAAAAAAAAGGATACTGAACATGCACAGACTCTTTTTTTCCTTGTAATTTATTCCCTAAATAATACAGGATAGCAAATATTTACATAGCATTTATATTGTATTAGGTATTATAAGTAATCTAGAGATTGTTTAAAGTATACTGGAGGCTGTGCATAGGTTCTATGCAAATATTACACCGTTTTATACTGGGGACTTGAGAATCTCTGGATTTTGGTGTTTGAGAGGTCCTGGAACCAAGCCTGCACAGATGCTAAGGAATGACTGAATATATGTATACACAGTGAATGATGGTAGTGACGCTGGACATGCTGGACATGGGCAGCCAAGATGAACTTGAATAAGGTGTTGGTGGAGCTGTCAGGTGCAGCCGATGAGGCTGCGAGGGCAGAGATCCAAATCTGCATTGAAGCCAGTAAGGCCCTGATGAAGGTCCTGGAGTTGGCAAGCCTGTCCCCGAGACCTATGTGCTCTGCAGCCACCTCCACAAATGACCTGCCCCCACTCCTCACCCTTCCTTAAAGATGAAGAAGCCTGAAAAAAAAAAAAAAAAAGGTATACACACAGGCTGGGCACAGTGGCTTACACCTGTAATTCTAGCACTTCGGGAGGCCGGGGGTGGGCGGATGACTTAAGGCCAGGAGTTTGAGACCAGCCTGGCCGACATGGTGAAACCCTGTCTCTCCTAAAACTACAAAAATTAGGTGTGGTAGTGCATGTCTGTAATCCCAGCTGCTCAGGAGGCTGAAGCATGAGAATGGCTTGAACACAGGAGGCAGAGGTTGCATTGAGCCGAGATCGCGCCACTGCACTCCAGCCTGTGCGAGGAGTGAGACTGTCTCAAAAAAAAAAAACAAAGTATATGTAGACACACACACACAATGTGTATGTTCACGTGCATGTGCTTTCGCATGCATGTGAACACACATACACACCCATAATACAAATAGATACAGACCACTGAGTTTGTGTTACAAGTAAAAAGCAACTTGATAATTTTGTTAAGTTACAGAATCATAGATCTGGAAGGACTTTCACTACATCCCTTTTAGTTCTTTTCCTTTGTTTATAAAGGGGGTGAATATTTCAGCCATAATAGGTAGCTCTTGTGTGAATGTAGTAGACAGAGGCAGTGTCATGCGAACCCCCATGGAAGTGTCTGCTTGCTGTGAAAATATTGATGTCAAACTGCTAGTCCTCCTGTCTTGCAGAGGACTGCCTTTATTGTGAAATTACATCTTCTCTGCTTGGAGGGTGTTTAAGATAACTGTCTACAAAATGATAATTATTAATGATAGTTGTTTTAAAAATTTTTCCTTACTTGGCAAAATAAAAATGCTGGCAACTCTGTATTTCAGGTCCATGAAAACTGGCTGGTCTCTAGAAAACATTCCCCAGAGACTGGATGGAACCAGCTTAATGAAATTAAGGTGCTTCCTTTTTGTTGTTGGGAAGCTGCTAATTTTAAATGTAATCCATGAGAAGAGCCTGAAAGCTTTGGAATGATAATTTGTGGTGGACTTCTCCTGAAATGAATTGGGGTAATGACAGGTACAACAGAAGGTAAAGCTTATAAAAAGGAGAATTTGACCGGGTGCAGTGGCTTATGCCTGTAATCCCAGAACTTTGGGAGGCCAAGGCAGGCGGATCATGAGATCAGGAGATGGAGACCATCCTGGCTAACATGGTGAAACCTCGTCTCTACTAAAAGTAGAAAAAATTAGTCGGGTGTGGTGGCATGCGCCTGTAGTCCCAGCTACTCAGGAGGCTGAGGCAGGAGAGTCACTTGAATCCAGGAGGCGGAGGTTGCAGGGAGCTGAGATCACACCACTGCATTCCAGCCTGGGCCACAGAGTGAGACTCCATCTCAAAAAAAAAAAAAAAAAAAAAAAAGAGAATTTGGGAAGTGGCTAGTGTGTTTCCAAGACTGGTCAGGGTGAGAGGACCATGAACTGGCAAAGCACACATATTCTGCCACCTGTCTGAGACTCTCCCAGGGGTTGAAAGGGGTGATTCCTCACAGCTTAGAGGGAGCGTTCCTTTTACTTGAAAGGGAATCTCCACAGGGCTGCTGAAAAGAGCAAAGCTGGATCCTTGAAAGTGGACCAGGGAGGAAGGATCCACACAGGGAGGGGTGCTCAGATGTCTCAGCACCCTCTGTCATCCTCTGGGGTTCTCTTTTGCTTTAGAGAGTTCTCATTACCCTCCCCTCAAGTGCTATGATTGGGAAGCACTGCTTCTTGTTATTTTTTTAAAAATTATTTATATTATTTAATTAATTTATTTATTTTTGAGACAGCATTTTGCTCTGTCACCCAAGCTGGGGTGCAGCGGTGTGATCTCAGCTCACTGCAATCTCTGCCTCTTAGGTTCAAGCAATTCTTGTTCCTCAGCCTCTCAAGTAGCTAGGATTACAGGCATGCACCACTATGCCTGGCTAGTTTTTGTATTTTTAGTAGAGATGGAGTTTTGCCATGTTGGCCAGGCTGGTCTTGAACTCCTGGGCTCAAAGCAATCCACCTGCCTTGGCCTCCCAAAGTGCTGGGATTACAGGCATGATCCACCAAGCCTGGCCTAAAGAAAAAAAATTATAAACAATATTTAGAACTTTTTTGTATTTTGGTTAAATATGCATAATATAAAATGTACCATTTTTGAATGTACAGTTCAGTGGCATTAAATATATTTACATTGTTGTACAACCATGACAACTATCCATTTCCAGAACTTTTTCATTATCTCAAACTGAAACTCTTTACTGGTAAATAACAGTTTCCCATTTCCCCACCCTTAGCTTCTGATAACCACCATTCTGCTAGGTTGGTGCAAAAGTAATTGTGAATTTTGCCACTCCTGATAACCACCATTCTGTTAGGTTGGTGCAAAAGTAATTGTGAATTTTGCCATTAAAAGTATTTGCAAAAACCACGATTACGTTTGCACCAACCCAATACTTGCTGTCTTTAAGAATCTGGCTATTCTAGGTACCTCATATATGTAGAATCGTGCAATATTTGTCCGTTTGTAACTGGCTTATTTCATTTAGCATAATGTTTTCAAGGTTCATCAAAGTTGTGGCATGTTTCAGAACTTCATTGCTTTTTAAGGCTTAATATTGCATTGTACATACAACATTTGGTTTATGATTCATCTGTGATTGGACACTTGGGTTGTATTGACCTTTTGGCTATTGTTAATAATACTATTATGAACATAGGTGTGCATAAATATCTGTTCAAGTCTCTGCTTTCAGTTCTTTTGTGTATATATCCAGAATTAGAATTGTTGTATCATATGGTTATTCCATGTTTCAATTTTTGAGAAACTGCTATACTGTCTTCCACAGTGACTGTTCCTTTTTACCTTCCTACCAGCAGTGCACAAGGGTTCCAGTTTCTCTATACCCTCACCAATACTTATTTTGATTTTTGATATTTACCATGTTAATAGGGTGTGAAGTGGTATCTCATTATGAAGATTTCTTTTTGATAGTTGGTTCTTTGACTTGACACTAGTAATTTAAAGCGCGCTTTCCCTAACAGTTTACAGATAGAGCAAAAATAAAGTAGTCATGGGAACTCAGAAAACCTAACTGTAATAAAAGTGACTGACTTGGTATTCTACTGGTGTCCTCAACTAGCCTAGAATTTTTTGAAGGACAGACCAAGAAAAGCAAGGTCTAGAAAAGGCTAGAGTTAAGCCTATGCCTTTCCTGTGATTGGGGAAGCCAGCTCCACCATGATAGCATGTTGTGGTGGCAACAGGACATTGACATTGGAATACAGGACGGCAGTCTAACACGTAGACACACATGTAGTGGGATGGAGCATTACGGTTCTGTTTTGTCATATTACTACAACTCCCTTGTCCTGATTCTACTTTCACCAGCTAATCTTCTGATCTTGAATTTTGTTTCCCAGACCATGTAAAACATATGCTGTGGTCAGCGTGAAAATTGTTTTCCTTATTCAACAAATGGATATGCTCATTATAAATCATTCTGCTATGCTTGATTAGCATGACTGAGTCCGTAAGGGCTTTCTTGTCTCTGGAAAACTGAAAATTCAGTTCCCTGAATCTGTAGAGCCAGGGGCAGAGGTGCAGTCGTATCTCAGGGCCATGCCTTTTCTCTTCTCTGGAAATTTTCTCCAGATGGAGACTTTACAGCTTCTTTCCTGGGTGTATAACATGAAATTCTTCTTGATGTCCAGCTGAAGTCTATTAGAATGGGACTAACCTGTGGAGTACTACAGAGCCAGGAAACACTCACTTTAAAAATTACTTCTGGCTGGGTACAGTGGCTCATGCCTGTAATCCCAGCACTTTGGGAGGCAGAGGCAGGCGGATCACCTCAGGTCAGGCGTTTGAGACCAGCCTTGGCAACATGGTCAACTCTTTCTTTACTAAAAGCACAAAATCTAGCCAGGCATGGTGGTGCATACCTGTAATCCCAGCTACTAGGGAGGCTGAGGCAGGAGAATCGCTTGAACCCAGGAGGTGGAGGTTGCAGTGAGCTGAGATTACACCACTGCACTTAAGCCTGGGCGACAGAGGGAGACTCCATTTCAAAAAAAACAAAAAAACAAAAAAACAACAAAAAAAACCTTCCTAGCCTGTTTACTACCATATAGGTGGCCAGGCATAACAGAAAGAGGTAGATTTATGAATACAAACTGCTTGTCCCCTTTGAGACACCAGCTGGTGAAAGAAGGGTGCCCACTTCTTAATTAAGCAATTCTTTATTTCAGGTGGTGACTACATATCTATCAGTGTAAAACATTAAGTCCCATTTCTGTTTTCGGAAGTTGTTCTTCTATTGGCATTGATTTTTATGTGAAGATGGAAGAAGTCTTCAGGCTTGGGAACACTTTTTGTTCGCTGCCTTGCTGCTGGAAACAAGTTGCTGACTGCACAGGAGAAGCAGGGATAGGCAGGAAATAGATACATCCTCAATTCTCTGTCAGCTGTCAGTCACCATTTTTTGAGGACTGCTGGGTAACTGAGTACTTTCTAGGAAACACTAGAGAATGGCATAAAACTTGGCAGTGTAGAGAAATTTGGGAAGTATGTCCATTTGAAAAGGAAGAGCCCAGCATGCGTACGTGTGTGTGTGTGTGTGTGTGTACGTGCGTGTAACATCTCTAGACTGAATTGAGTGGCCAGAGCATCAGACTTCAAAAGAGTCATACTCGAGTCAAAATAGTAGTAAGGAGGAGAAGACTACAAAGTCCTGGAAGCATGATCTTTTTTATTTAATTGGAGGAAAGAAAAATCCATGCCCCATGAAAGACACCACTGACTTAAAATGGATTCACAGAAAAAGAATCAGCAGACCTGGAAATTAAGTGGGAAGTGCCAGTAGAAGGTGGTGGTTTACGCAGACTCTATAAAAAGGAGAAGTAAACTGGAGAATAACACCATGTTACTGTTTTTAAAGCACTGCCCTGGGAGGACAATGTGGCAGCTTTGATTGAGAGGGTCAAGCATGATCCCTTGCTGGGAGGTGCTGCCTTATAGAGATGCTTTAAGAAGATCCAGCTGGCTCGGAGTGTGATTCATAATGTTGAAGTCTCTCATTTTCTATGTGATCCTACCCACTTAGACATGGGTAGGCTGGGTGCACCATTGTTCTGTGCAAGGAGGAAATTAAGCTTCTAAAGTTGCAATTCTGAAGTTCCCACCTTGGGCTCATCAGCCGCCAAAGTGCAGCGTGGCTGAGCTTTATCTCTGGTTTCTCAAGTCTCTTTGCTGGAAGAGAGAGAGGGTTATGAGTCACAAGGGTGACTTCTCTATGTTGTGTGGGGGACAGTCATTCCTGGAAGTAAGAAGAAGAAGGATAAGAAGAGGTAACTAACAAGACCTTCCTGGCGTGGGCCAGAACAGAGGTTGGTGGTCCTGGGAGGCATGCCTACTTTTGGAGTTTGAGGATTGAAGAGGAAGGTGAGAGAGTCATTGCAGTTGGGAATTTTGATCATCTGACTGGCCATTAGGTCTTCGCCTGTACAAACTGGTCAGCATAGGTCTTTGGATTTGTGGCATTGGCTGGCAGTTTCTTGGAATGCCTCAGTAGCTGCGCTGTCAGTTACACAACTGACATGTTTGTGTGGGGGCATGCTCATTTTTCAGGGTTTCTGGCACCTTTTGGATTTCTTCTTAATGTGCTAGTCCTGTGCCTGGGTTAGTGGTCACTTGAAAAACTCATCTGCTGATGTTTACCCCTTAACACGGAAAAAAAGTGTCTAACTCCAAAGAAGCAGCCCCCTTACTGTGCATACCATCGTAATCCACCAAGGATATTGACACAAAGCCATTTATTCATAGAATAATGGCTTTATGATTAGAATAGAATTTATTCATAGAACTACTTTGGGAAGTTCTATGTCTGAGTACATCTCCTCAAATTCAGGGAGGTGGAGAGAATTGCTTGATCCATTTTTAAGACGGTAGAGAGGGCTGGGCACGGTGACTCATGCCTATAATTCCAGCACTTTGGGAGGCCCAGGCAGGCAGATCACCTGAGGTCAGGAGTTTGTAGACCAGCCTGGCCAACATGGTGAAACCCTGTCTCTACCAAAAACACAAAAATTAGCTGGATCTGGTGGTATGTGCCTGTAGTCCCAATTTCTTGGGAGGCTGAGGCAGGAGAATCACTTGAACTCAGGAGGCAGAGGTTGCAGTGAGCCGAGATCTCACCACTGCACTCCAGCCTGGGTGACAGAGGGAGACTCCCCTCAAAATAAAAGAAGGAAAAGAGGCCAGGTGTGGTGGCTCATGCATGTAATCCCAGCACTTTGGGAGGCCAAAGCAGGAGGATCGTTTCAGCCAGGGAGGTCAATGCTGCAGTGAACTGTGATTGTACCATTGTACTCCCACCTGGGCAATAGAGTAAGACCTTGTCTCAAAAAAAGAGGGACGGGGAGGAAAAGAGAGTGCCCAGGAGTGGTATAGGAACCTGGGTTGGAGCGGGAAAGATTGGATAGTCTGAAGAAGGGATGAAAGTGATGGGAATGTGGGTTGGAGAAGAGGTGATGGTTTAGTGAGAGGTGTCTGGGCCTGCTTACCACGCTTTCTCTGTTTGGGTTTGTGATCTTCCCTCTTCCCTGACAATGGGCTGGCATGGGCTACACTACCCTGTGCACATCTGGAAAAGGTAAGCTTCCTTTCAGGGCTAGCTTTGGGATGCAGTCCTAATCTTCATTTTTGCTTTTGTTGGCAATGATGCTTTCAGCTGCTCAAAAGAGCAATTTAGTCTCTCTGATGTGGAAGCTTGTTTAGGATATGTTTCTGTCAAAGAAGTTATTTTTCATGACTCTAATATCATAAAGAAATCTGACATTAAGAAAATCTCAGGGTGGGGAGGGTGGTTCTCAGGAGTGGTAGCCACACAGAGAGCAGCTCCCGTTGAGCTGCTGCTTCCTGCTGTTGTGTTCAAGAGACAGCAGCTGCCGGCCTGTCAGCACCCCAGGGAGTGAGGCTCAGTGCCAGGCTGCCTCCCTTACTGCATGGATGGCCCAGATCATACACACTGTGGTGGAATAGCAGACTCAGGGGGCTGCTGCTTGGACATGCTGGTAGTTCCCAGCTTACGTTTCAGCAAAGCTTGGGGAGTCACTGCGGGCTTGTTAATGGGGATGACGCAGAACACTTCCCTAGCACTGCCTTATGTTTGTTGTTGGTCCTTGTGCATCTGATGGCCTAAGCTGGTTAATTTGAGACTTGCATGAAAAAATAATGCCTCGTGGACTTTTTCCAGGGCACTAGGTGACTGCTTTAAAGAAGAGGTCAGAGGTTCTGTCCTCCAAAGCTATCTTTGGGATTCAAGAAGTGAGAGGAAAGAGCCAGTGGAGACACATGCCTCTTCTTTTGTTTGAAGGCTACTTAGGCAACTGGAGAGCTGGTGTCACATTTCATTCTGCAGAATGAGAACCTCCTGTAGGCTGACTCTGTTATTCAGTCATTCTTGTCTGTCAGTGTTGGTCAGAACTTCACTCCTCTCTTCCCACCTTCAGGACTTTTGCACATATAACTTATATTACCCTTTGGTAATGCCCTTTAGTAATCAATCCCTAAAAAGTTCATTTAGATGAAAGGGGATAGTGTAAGGGGGAGAAAAAGAAGGCATGTCTCTGTTGTAGGGTGGGTGGTTGATATTCCTTACAGTTAACTCTTACACAGACACATTTTATCGACTAGTTCCTGACTGGCCCTATGAGGGTGATGTTACTACTGCTTTCTGACTGGTCCTGTGGACCCTGGCAGCCACAGATGAAGGTCCCCACAGTGTGCTGACTTTGAGAACTGTGTGGCCATGGGAGAACAGCTCTCAGTTCTGTGGTGCCCTGAACACACACCCTCCATCTTTATTTTCTTCATTCCTTTAAGTACTTTTCACTATTTTTCTGTTCCAGATGAAGTTGAGTGCCTCCCTCCGCTCTGCTGTTATAGTAGTTGTAATGTTGATTTCTACTAAAAATGACATGATCAAACCACACTTCATCTTATTTTCCTTAATAAAGAAAAAAAGGAGAGAAATACTATTTTATTTTTGAGTTGGTAGAACAGCATGAATCCCAGGATGTAAATGTTGATCATTTTAACTTTCAAATGATCTAAACACCTTTAAGTAATTTTTGGTCATAGTTTTATTTATTTGTCTGGGCACCGTGGCTCACAGCTGTAATCCCAGCACTCTGGAGGGTGAGGCAGGTAGATTGCTTGAAACAATCAGTTAACACTTGGTGCATTTGGTAACAATTGGCTGGCCAGGGAGTTGGGTGTGTCTGAAGAACAAAGCAAGGCTTTTCTATTCAAGATCAGCATTTCTAATTAATAGCTGTGCGGTCTGCTAATATTTGTCTTAATTTTCCATGCAACATCACATTTAATTTTTATAGCAACTCCATGAAGTGGGTACCATAATCATCTTCGTGTTACTAGTGGGAAAACTGAAGCTCAGATTTTTTTTTCATGGCTCTATAGCAGGGATTGGCAAACTTTTTCTATAATATAAGACCAGGAAGTAAATATTTTAGGCTTTTTGGGCCCATCCTTTGAACAGTATGATGACATGGGGTTAGAGTCCTTTTCTGTGGAGTCATGTCTGGGATGGGAAAGAAGGGGTGAGGGAAAGGGGAGAGTGATGGAGAAGTGTGGCGGAAGGGTGGTGGTGGTGATTTTGCCCCAGCTTCCCTGAGGATTGTGCCCTGGAGGCAGTCAGGAGGGGTGTGGGCGAAAGAAATCTCAGAAAGCTCTTGAAGCGGGTGCAGTGGTAGTGACTGCTCAGTGAATCTTCGTTTCTGCTGATATTTCATTCAAATTTTCCCTTATGTTACTGCTATTTGTCGCTTTGGCTCCCTTTCTCCATTGTAAGGGAAGGCCTGTGGAGTACTGATCTGTCTCAGGCATCTCTGCCCACCCCACAGTGTGCAGTGTCTTGCACACACCGTAGGTGCTCAAACACAGTTATTGAACACAGGCTGCATTGACTTATCACCTTCAGCATCCATGCTGCGCAGTGCAATCATCTTCTCCCAAAGAAGTCAGGATTTTTTGGTCTAAAATAGTCACAGTTAACAAAGATACTCGGGAAATCCTGAAAATATGATAAATTTCAGGAGTAAGCAGTTGGACAAGTTGTGGACTTCTGTTGAGGATCTTCTGCAAGATCCACTATGCAACTTTTGTTGCCTGTTTTTCTTTATTCACTCCTTTTTATTAAACTTAGTTTCCTCCAACCCCACTGGAAGCAAGAAAAGCAAACAAACAAACAAAACCTTAGGTTGCTTATCTCCATTGTTGCATGGTAGGTGTTCAATGGATACATACTGAGCTAGTTCATTTCTGATACTAATTTGATTACTTCTCCTAAACATTCTTTCTTGTTACAGAATTCTCTGTCCTCTACCTCCCAAATCCCACAAAACATCTCACCTCCACACATAGGCTGATTACTCGGGAATGGTACAGGAGGCCCTTGGTGATTCTAATTGATGAAAGACTAAAAAATTCCCTTATAGGAGAACTGAAATCAATGTCAATCTGAGATTGAGTAATACATCAAGTTAGTATCAGAAATGAACTAGCTTCAGCAGACTCTTTACATACTCTTGCAGGTATAGGTGCTGAGGCTGAAGCTGTAAGCTCAGAGATTTTGACATACTCTTACCCTCCTTTCCTTCTTTCCTTCATCAATTACTGAACATTGGTTATGTGCCAGGCATTGGGTTAAGTTCACGAAAAAATAGTGTCTGGTTTCAAATACATTCATTCCAGTCTAGTGGCGAGATAAAAGGAAGTAGTGGCCATATGACATGAGGGCAGGTGGTAAGAACCTCTCCTGGCCTAGGGGGTAAGACCTCCTCAAGGGGTTTGCTGCCAAACTCCTGAATGTGATCAAGAGTAATTAAGGTAACTGTGCAGCTCTGGATGAATTAACAGGTTCTGCGCTTGACTTTCTCTATTTGTACAGGTTGAAGATGTCTGCCCAGAGGTTAATTTCTAACAGAACTTCCCAGCAATCGGCATCTAATTCTGATTACACCTGGGAATATGAATATTATGAGATTGGACCAGTTTCCTTTGAAGGACTAAAGGCTCATAAATGTAAGTTTTATACAATTCCTCATTGTAAGCACAAGTTATATTTGTCTTAACCTGTGAAATCCCCAAGGATTATTTCTCCTGAACATTCTGTCTTCTTACAGAACTCTCTGTCCTCTGCCTCCCAAATCCCACAAAACATCTCACCTCCATACATAGGCTGATTGCTCAGAAATGGTACAGGAGGGCCTTGGTGATTCTAACTGATGAAAGACTAAAAAATTCCTGTAGTAGGAGAACATGAATCAATGTCAAGCTGAGATTGAGAATTTTAAAAAAGCATTTGCTATTTTAGCTCCTCCAAACTGTGAATGTTTGAACTATCAAAAATATGTATAAAAATAGGATCTGGAACTGTTGTTTGAAGAACTTTCTTTTGTAACACAGCAGCATCTTTTCATCCCAGTTGGTTTTCTAGAGCTGTGGAGAGCAGTGTATCCATGTGTGTTCATTATGACGGGCCAGAATAGCCCGCAATCATTTCTAACCCTGTGTTCTAGGCATGAATTGTGTTTCATGCTATTGGAGTAATTAAGGGTCCAGCACAGAGCAAGGAAATGTAATTCTGTGAGACGTTGCTATTCAACTCCAGTCATAAGTGAATGCTGACTGGCCAGCATGAGACATCCTTGTTTCACTAAGTAGAGTTAACAGTTAACATGGTAGGCAGGAACTGCTGCCCAGTCTCAGGTCCTGTCTTGGTAACCCCGTAAATATCCCTGAAATGTTCACTTTTGTCAGAGTGAATTATCCACAGCACTGTAAAATTTTTATGTTCTTAACTGGTCCAGGTTAGTGGGACACATTAGGAAATATAAGAGGACTTGGAGACACAAATGTAGCAAAGAAAGTGTTTTCATTCCTTTAATTATTTCCTGGCTGCTTCTATCCTGACCTGTGTTGGCATTCATGATCTCTTGCACCAGCTTGGTGCTCTTTTGCAAGAACGGCTTTCTATTTTTGTTCCTTTAGCAAAAATCATTAACTAAACCATATGTCCTTTACCCCTTAAGTGAGTAGTAATAATTAAATAGTTTCACTCATTCCTTTATTGACATCTACTCAGTATTTCTTTGAGGGAAAAAAGCACATGGCATTCATTAAGGTATGTTGTCATTGATTATCTGGTAGAAGGCTGTTGGGTGTGAAATCACCCTCCTTAATTTACTTAAATTCTTTAATATGTTGTTTTTCTGGGATAACTTTTATGTAAGGACAATTGCTTGTTCTGAATTATAGTGAAAATCAAAATGACTGGGAAAATTGCCACATATTTTCTTGAAATGTGGGCTTTTACAGCTTGGTGACATCAACTTTATTTTTGTGTCAGCTTGCTCCTGTCTCTTTTCCTTAGTATAAGAGGCACAGAAGACAGGCCTACTGCTATAATTTTTGTTGGTACATTTCCAGAGACAATTGAATAAAATCTTTTGTAAGGATATTTCATTCTAGAAATAATTATAGCTGGAAAACTTCCTGAGAAACATAGGCAGAGGTGTGACTCACTCTTTCCTTACTTACACTACCTACTATACCATTAATAACAACTGCTTTTGTTAATTTTAATATTCACATCAAGATAAAACAAAAATACCTGAATACTTACTGTTCTGATATAAGAGAGCTGATAAGTAGAAGCCCTTAGCTTCAGGAACCTGACAATATGTGAGACACATTGATAACAAAAAATGAACAAACACAAAACCCCAGATATACAGGAAAGTGAAAAGATCAAGTCAACTGTTGAAATGTGTGCTTTGGTACAGTCTCTTTCATTTAAAAATGCTGTGATTCTGACCTTCAAGTATGACTCCTTGTTTTGCTGGGGAAAATACAAAGCCAATTAGATGCAGATTCAAAAGAACAGAAGCAGGACATTTCAAGGGGAAGCCCTCATTGAGGACAGGAATGACCATAACAGTTATCTTTATTTGCCTTACCTGTAATGGATCATACTTGGCAACAATAGCTCCATCTTTAGACTAAGTTCCTCTGCTGAAATTAAGATTCCTACCTTCAAAGCGTGTTTCATCTGAGAAACAACCTCAGATGGTCATTGATAATTCTTATGCCATTGGTTTTGAATCCCATATTAAACCTTATCATGTATCAGAAGTGGACATGTATCTTATACAAATTTGGCACCAACAGAGTAGAAATGTATTTATTCATTCATTCACTATCTATTTATTGAGCACCTGTATGTGCAGTACTATTTTAAGCACTGGAGAGACAACAGTGAACTGAAAAGACAAAAATGTTTCCTCCTATAAAGCTTGCATTCTAGTGGGAGAGACAGACAATAAATAGTTAAATAGATAATGTCAGATGGCAATATAAAAGGAGAAATAGAGTGGGGGGAAAGGAATGTGGAGTGTAGAGGTGACAGTATAGATAGAGTGGCCATGGAAAGCCTTACTGAGAAGGAGAGATTTGATAAAAGACCTGAAGGAACTGAGAGATTGAGCTATAATATATCTCGGGGAAAAACATTCCAGCAAAGGATCCTTGGCGGGAGTGAACTGGATCATGCAAGGAACAAGGAGGCCAGCGTGATACCAAGGGAGTGATAAGAGGCAGAACAGCAGGAAATGAAGTCAGAGAGGCTCTGGGGACATGGACATGGTGGGGGCGCTCAGAGGTCATGCTAAGGACTTTGCTTGGCCTTTTACTCTGAGCAGTTACTTGAGGGTCTAGAACAGAGAAGTGCCATCTGGCTTAGGTTTCAATGCATCACTTTGCAACTGGGGAGTGAAAGGCATGAAATTAGAAGCAGAGACCATTCACGTGGCCTTTGCCATTGTCCAGGCAGCTGATGACGGTGGCTTGGAGCCAGGTGGGGAGAGTGAAGTGGTGAGAAAGGCATACATTCTGGATGTTTTTAAAAGATGGATCTGGCAAGATTTGTCAATGGATTGGCGGTGTGTAAGAGAAAGAAGAGTCAAGAATGATTTGAAGATTTGTGACCTGAGTAACTGGAAGGATGGAATTACCTTTAACAAATGGGGAAGAGTATGGGAGAAGGAGGTTTCAGAGAGGAATGCCAGGAGCTCTGTTTTGGACTTGTTAAATTGAGACACCTATCACATATCCAGGAGGACAAGGGAGGAGAGGGTGGGGGGAAGCTGTAGACTTGAGGGTCATCAGCATGTAAATAGTATGCGTTCAAAGCCAAGAGGCTGGATAAGTGAGTGTAGATAGAAAACTGAAGAGTCCAAAGCTGAGTCCTGGGCACGCTTGTGTTTCGAAGTTGGAGGGTTGCATAGCAGTATAGGTGCCTGAGAGGAATGTACAGAAAGTAGGAAGAAAACTAGGCAATTTTTGTTTTCTGGATGCCAACTGAAAAAAGGGTTGCAAAGACAGTCTGTGTCAAATGCTGCTATTAGGTCAAGTTAATTGAAGACTGAGATTTGACCATTGGATTTATAATGTAGAAGTTACTGGCAATGGTTTGAAAAGCAGTTTTAGTGGGGTGCTGGGGGTAAAAGGTTGATGGAATTGATTCAAGAAAAAATGAGAGGAGAGAAATTGGGGACAGCATGTACAGAGAAATCTCTCAAGTGTCTTGCTATAAAGGGAAGGAGAGGAATGGGTCATCTATGAAGGGCGTGGCTGGGTAAGACAAGGTGTTCTTAAAGCAGCAGAAGCAAAAGCTGATCAGTCAATGAGTGGACAATCACATTTTAGCAGGACCACTCTGACCACTGTGTTGAGAAAAAACTGAAGGAATATCCTCTTAATATGAGGTATCAGTGGTGGCCAAATCCATGCTTTTTTATGTGCCGCCTTGCGGATATCAGACCTGTGCATGGATGAGTCAACAAGAAGCCAGGTCATTAGGATGAGAAACAGAGCTAGAACTTGTAAAGCTTGGAGTAAGACAGTAGAGACAAGTGTGGGAACATCACTGTTGGCTCTTTGCCAGGAATTCATATCACAGAATTGACCCTAGTGCCTTAGGAACCAAAAGTGGTGTGAGGACAGTGTCGAACCCTCTCTTTCAAGTGAAGTATTAACCCTTGTTTTTCATATAACCACGAAATGGGAAGTTCACCATTTATTCTCAAGAGGTGGAGAGGAGGGCGAGTTGGATGGAGTAGTTAACCTGGTCCTACCCTAGAATGGGAAGGAAAAAAATCATGTCAGCTTTCAGCTCTCTTGTTGCATTCCATTCACTAAAGGTTAGGTTAAGGGGAGTTACTTTATTATGACACATTCCATTTGCAATTCCCCTGGGCAATTGTTCTACCCCCTTACAATAGTAGTCTCCAAGTAGCTCAGTGTCTAGACAGGACAGACTGTGGTAGCTTGGCTGTGGTGGAAACTCCTTTGGAAGGCTTCTTTGGACTTTCTTAACCATCTAGCCACATTGGAGCTTTGCTCTGTATAAAACTTCATTCTGACTTCTTCCCAGAAAAGGACACTTTTGGGAAGACAAGGGGCTCCACTTTTCCCATATTACTGTAGTGCCTATGCCCATGAAACTTAACATGTGAATACAACTTCGGGAGAGTTTGGATATTTCTGGGATGAGATGGGGATCTCTGATGTTTCTTGTAAGAGGCTCAGGGTGAGAAAGTCCCCTGGGGATGGGTCATAGGGCAGAAGATGAGGTTGGGGGAAATTAGTGGAAATAACTTGAGGAAGCTACATTTTGTTCCAAGTGGAATGTGAATAAGCAGAGCTACTTAAAGCATATTGCCATGGAAAACATAGATGCCACATTATTAAAGAAATGTTTGGAAATGCTGTTGGATCATGAGGATTCTCAGATTCTACCCACAGCCTGCCTCTCCCCAACACTGTCGCCGCCTGACTTCTCTGAAGGCTGTAGCCCTCCCATGCTTCACATTATTGCTGCTTTTTGATTAGCTCCCTGGGGCACTTAGAAGGGCAGAGGGAAGGGGGACTGGGTTGGGTTAAGGGCACACTTTCCTCCGCCTCCAGGAGTCAGTCACCATTTGCAGTGTGAAAGCTGTTCTTAGGAGAACACCTTCCTAGTACACAGATTTGAAAAATGTCAATCAACATGATTCAATTCTAAACCGAAGATTTAAATATAGCATTGGTGTATAATTTTAGAATTTGCTTTTGCTATGCAGGCAGTTGATAAAGTACAGTGGAGGGAACTGTTATTTAACTGTACAATGTTTCTTCACAGTCCACACCTAGATAGTTGAGATTTTATTGTTTCATGTTAGTTGTACCTCAGTACATGTGGTGTTTGGTATTTGTCCTTGTTTTTTTTTATGCCTCACTTCTACTATATTAAAAGGCAAAGTATACAATTTCTATTTCTATTCACTTAAGGTTAGACACATTAGTTTTTCAGTGCTGAATACACATTGTTAACCTCTAGGCAATAGTATGTGGAGGATGAAAGTATGAATTATGCAGAGTAAATTCTTAATCTGATTTCTTCACTTTGGAAGAAGTGCTACACATACATAATTTAATTAGAATAAAGCTTTACGTTTAAACACATTTGATATTTAAACTCCAATCACTTATTTTTAGAAAATTGCTAAGCATCCTTAGTGTATTTCCACATAGATAAGCTTCTTAGTATAGGCCAAAAAATGTAGAATGATTCAACTCTGTTGTGTCCTAGATTTGAGGCCCTACTGTGCATATACCAAGTTCTGTGGACAATCCAATCTAACCCTGAACCTAGAGATAAAGAATTGTGATTGTTATCCAAGATAGGACCCAGGAGAGCCCTGTTTAGGGAAGTACAGACAAAAATGTTATTGGGTTCAAAGGAGGGAGAGAACACATCAATTATGGAAATTAGTTGAGGCTTAGTAGATACTGTAGCGGATAGACTTGGAAGGATGGATACACTTTCATTAGCTCCAGGTTGGGAAAAGTTGTTCCAGGCAGGTAGTGGTCAGAGCCCTGGTAAGGTGTGGCTGTGAGGAAGCCGTGGCTAAGGTTACGGTAAATACAGGGACACAGGGTCCCCTAGTATGACTGGAAACACATGGTTTTTAAAGTGAGGTAAATTGGGAGAAATTGACAATTCTAATGACAGTAGCCAGCACCTGTGGTGTACCGTTTTCTCAGCTGTCAGACATTGTATAAAGTGCTTTACATATGGAATCTCTTTTAATCTGGAAAAGTGGGTCAGTTCTGTTTTTGTTGGAGAGCTTTTCACGAAAGAGCAATATCATCAGGACTGTGATTAAAGCAGATTTGTACAGAAATAAAGCACAGGGAAAGGTAGAAGGCAGAGAGAGCACTCAAGAGGCCATCTGTATGTTCTCTGCAAGAAGTAATGACAGCCTGAATTATTTCATGGTGAACATAAGTGAGAATACAAAGTTGCTACCTAATTGAGCTGCTAACCAATAGAGTTGCTGAACTAAAATTTGGCCCAGGAAGGTCTCCATATTTGCATACTTGCATTCTTAGGTATGAGCTGTGACCTAGCTTACTAGGTAAGCAAACTGAAAACCTAGCGAATGCTTCCATAACAATAGCTGAGTCTCAGCTAATCACGCAGCTACACTTCAGGCACTCACAGGCAGACAGCTGTTCAAATGGTGTTCAAATCCAGCTGTTTCCATACCTTGTTTCTTTTTTCTGTACATCATTTTCCTTTTTCTGTCCCTAAATCTTAACCAACCATAAGGCAGCCCAGAGTCTCTCTGAATCTGTTCAGATTCTGGGAGCTTCCCGGTTCAAGAATTTTGTTTTCCTTGCACAGTTAATATCTGTTAAATTTAATTTGTCTACAGTTTTTCTTTTAACAGTAGCAATCCAAATCACTTAAAACTTGAGTTGGTAGTCTGCTAAACATTTTATTTTCTAACTCAACACACATGAGTGGAATCTTGAGGCCCAAGATAACCTATGCTCTGGCCTAGGTTCCTTCCTTGAGATACGGAAACCATGAGTCAATGAGGCCTCAATCCCTTCGTGCTATCTGAGACAGAAACCTGGAGACGGAGCAGACTCTTCCCTCCCCGTCATCCTTTCCATCTTATCAGTCTCCAGCCAACTGCGGATCAGACTGTTGATTTCCTTTCATGTTTCATGTACCAAAGCCTCTCCAAGAAGCTCTGATTCTTGAATGTTCAAGTTGTAAACTACTGTGAAATACTAATTGCAGTATTAACTGTCTTGCAGATTCCATTGTGATTGGATTTTGGGTTGGTCTTGCAGTCTTCGTGATTTTTATGTTTTTTGTGCTGACCTTGCTGACCAAGACAGGAGCCCCACACCAAGAGTAAGTTTGGGCGGTTCCTAAATGTCTCTTAAGCCTCACAGGAGACTGAGGAAATGGAAACTACTACCCAGGGCTGGAGGTGCTTCCAGTGGATGAAGAGAAGGCGGTGGTTGTGGATTTGCTGTCTGAACCCAGATGCCTGTGGATTGGATCCAACTATTCTCCTGGCTTTTTGTTTCTTGCGTCTTGGGCTTATTTTCAAGTGGACTTTTATGAAATTGGGTTTCTTGGTCCTTTCCTACAGTCTTAATGATGATGTGGGGCCTGATTTTTACATTGAAATGTTTATTAATTACAATGTATTTTATCCATATTCCCAAAAGGATTTAGATGATTCACCATATTAAAAACAGTGGAAAAGACAATAGCAAAATAGGATGAAAACTAGTTTTAAAAATTATTTCAAGAAGCAGAGTAATAGTTGTTCCTTGATACTCAATTAACTATTGACAATGATTAATACATTTAACAGAGTTTTCTTGAAACTAGGATACAAAGGCCAATACTGTGGTTTACATAATTCTCATAACATGGTAGGACTTGTGATGATGCTGCACTTTGGACTGAAGTATTACATGACTGCTTAAAGAACACTGAGAAACATCAAAAAGCGTTTGTTCACTAATGGCTTGTAAAAAATTCAGAAATATCTTAAAGGATTTATGTATTTTATACCAAATTTTTAATAAAAGGGAAAACAGAGAACATTCAATACCTTATTAGTCAGCACCAGCAGGCAACAGCAATTAAAAGTGTTTTTGGCTGGTACGGTGGCTCCAGCCTGTAATCCCAGCACTTTGGGAGACCGAGGCAGGCAGATCAGTTGAGTCCAGGAGTTCAAGACCAGCCTGGCTACGGTGAAACCCCGTCTCTATTAAAAATACAAAAAATTAGCCTGGTTTGGTGGAGGGTACCTGTAATCCTAGCTACCTGGGAGGCTGAGGCACAAGAATCACTTGAACCCGGGAGGTTGCAGTGAGCCAAGGTCATGCCACCGCACTACAGCCTGGGCAACAGAGCCAGACTGTCTAAAAAAAAAAAAAAAAAAAGTTTTTGATAAAGGGGCTGTTCAGAAGTTATGGACAGGGAAGAGGGCAGCTACACAGGCTCATGCAGCACAGCAAGGCTGGCAACACTGAGGAGCAGCCATCTTAGATCCCAGGAAGCAAGCGGTGGGGCCACAACTGGAACCCGCGAGTCTGCTGAGAGTAGCTGTGACTTTGGGCTGAGGGACACAGCTAGTCCAGTGTGACCTCTCAGGGAAGGAGCCTCAAAGTGAAGACCAATACCTCAGTCTTCTCCCTCCTTCCCATTTCTCACCATTGCGCCCCACTGGCTGAACACAGCCAGCAGCCAGAGGCTGCATCAAAGGCCATTTTCTCATGTACACAGCAGGACAGGGGAGGGTGGAAGAGACCTGGGAGAGTGAATAGAAGAAGTTTCACAGGAATCCTGGCATTTTTATATTCAGTGTCTTATTTTTGCTTCACAGCCTGGGAGCAGCTCTCTTTCATGGTTGTGTCTCATCACCGCCTCCAGCATCTGTTGTTCACTCTTCCGCCTGCACGTCAACTATGACAAATGCCTGTGCAAAGGGAGCAGTTCTTGCCCTCACGCAGCTATTTGTAGATATCAGGGGCTAGAAAGAAAAATGTAAACACAGCCAGGTGTGGTGGCTCATGCCTGTAATCCCAGCACTTTGGGAGGTGAAATTGAGAGGATTGCTTGAGCTCAGGAGTTTGAGACCAGCCTGGGCAACATGGCAAAACCCTGTCTCTACAAAAAACAGAAAAATCAGCTGGGCATGGTGGTGCACACCTGTAGTCCCAGCTACTCGGGAGGCTAAGGTGGGAGGATCACTTGAACCCGGGAAGTTAAGGCTGCAGTGAGCTGTGATTGTGCTGCTGCACTGCAGCCTGAATGACAGAGTAAGACCCTGTCTCAAAAAAAAAAAAAAAGTAAACACAAACATTTTAAATGAAAGGAAAACATCATTTTTATTGAAGCATTTGGAGACATATGGCTGAGAATCTATTTAACAGCTACTAAAAAGACATGAGCTTTCCTTTTTCTCTCTTCATGTCATTGTAAATATTCGCACATGCTTCACTTCTATTATATTGGCCCGGGGAATTTGAAAATATGGTGTGGGTTACAAGAGGGGTAAGAAAAGACTAGAATAAACTCAGATTAAGGCACAACTCATAGAGTGGTCAGGGATTAATAATACCCTGTTATCTTCCTTTTCCTCAGAGGAACCAATGGATTTTTGTGGGTTATTGAGATAGGTGTGTGTGATGTAGAAGGCAGGAGATTTTAGGACTAGGAACACTAGCACAAAATAGAATGTGACGTTCTGTGATGGTTAATTTTATGTGTTAACAATTCTAGATGTTTCTGTGAAGGTATTTCTTAGTTGAGGGTACCATTTATCAGTACTCTTTGGGTTAAGCAGATTACCCTCCATGCTGTGAGTGGGCCTTATCCAGTCAGCTGAAGGCCTTAGGAGAACAAAGACTGACCTCCTCAAGCCAAAAGGGATTCTACCAGGACACTGCCTTTGGACTGTCCCCACCCTACTCTGCGGATTTTGGACTTGCTGGCCCCCGAAGTTGCATGAGGCGATTCCTTAAAATAAAACTCTCTCTTTATACACAGACACACCACACACACACACACACACACACACACACACACACACACACACACATTGTGTTGGTTCTGTTTTCTCTGGAGCTCCCTGACTAATCATCACTTCCGTGTGGTGTCATGGCAACCCTGGGTAGTTGAGACTTGCCTTTTAGCCTTCCAGTTGGCAGTTCACTTTTGCCGTTGGACGGTCTCTCTTTGATGGTTGTTCTGAACAATGCTCAATCACAGAACAGAGGTCATTGTAACCCTGAATGCTTCTAACAAGGTAAAGGAAAAGTAACTTTTTTTGACATTTAAGAAAATAATGGATCTTCCGTCAGGACCACATTTTGAATGCTTCTGTACACAGTCTGACACAGCATAAGATATGGCATTTGGTTGCAGTATTTAATAATAGAAAAGTGAAAGAATCAGACATGTGGAAAAACATTGAAATAAATCTGTTATAAAGGCTTTCAGGTCTTAACAAACTTGTTATTTGTTTGGCAGGAATTTTCTTCTTAAGTGGACATTGTTTTTTTCCATATAGCCAATATTAATAGAAAACAACTAATTTTAAGTTTGCTTGTGATAATTAGGGTGTGGGAGGAAGGACAAGACAACATTGAAAATAATAAGAGCCATTTTTTTGATGCCAGGGTCAACTAATTATATCTCACGAAATCCTCACAGGAAGACGAAGTAAATTCCATGTGTTACCACATTACAAATAAGAAACATGAGGCTGAGACACTTGTCTAAGGCTTCACAGGTTAAAGAAAAAATGTGGAGTCAAACCTCAAACTAAAGTCTCTTCGGTGCTGAAGTTCCTGTCATTAACCACTACATTATCTCAGATTGGCAATTTTTAATCTCTTCCTTCTATTGAACCAAAGATGCTAGCAAGCAACCAGATTTGTTATTTTTTCCGTAAGTTACTGGGGTACAGGTGGTATTTGGTTACATAAGGAAGTTCCTTAGTGGTGATTTGTGAAATATTGGTGCACCCATCACCCGAGCAGTGTATACTATACCATATTGGTAGTCTTTTATCCCTCACCCCCTCCACTCTTCCCCCAAAGTCCCCACAGTCCATTGTTTCATTCTTATGCCTTTGTATCCTCATAGCTCCCACATATCAGTAAAAACGTATGATGTTTGCTTTTCAATTCCTGAGTTACTTCACTTAGAATAACAGTCTCCAATCTCATCCAGGTTGCTGCAAATACTGTTAATTCATTCCTTTTTATGGTTGAGTAGTGTTCCACCATATATACATATATATGCAAAATATATACAAAATGTGTATACAAAATATATACATATGTATGTATATACATATGTACATATACATATACTAACAATATGTGTATTTTTTTGTTCCATATGAATTCTAGAATTATTTTTGCTAATTCTGTGAAGAATGATGGTGGTATTTTGATGAAGATTACATTGAATTTGTAGATTGCATTTGGCAGTAGAGTCATTTTCACGATATTGATTCTATCCATCCATGAGCATGGGATGTGTTTTCATGTGTTTGTTTTATCTATGATTTCTTTCATGTGATGTAGATATCACAGTTTCTTTATCCACTTGTCGATTGATGGGCATTTGGGTTGGTTTCACGATTTCGCAATTGTGAATTGTGCTGCTATAAACATGTGTCTGCAAGTATCTTTTTCATATAATGACTTCTTTTCCTCTGGGTAGATACCTGGTAGTGGGATTGCTGTATCAATGGTAGATCTACTTTTAGTTCTTTCAGGAATCTCCACACTGTTTTCCATAGTGGCTGTACTAGTTTACATTCCCATCAGCAGTGTAGAAGTGTTCCCTGATCACTGCATCCATGCCAACATCTACTGATTTTTGATTTTTTGATTATGGCCATTCTTGCAGGAGTAAAGTGATAACGCATTGTGGCTTTGGTTTGCATTTTCCCTGATCACTAGTGATGTTAAGCATTTTTTCATATATCTGTTGGCCATTTGTGTATCTTCTTTTGAGAATTGTGTATTCATGTTTTTAGCCCACTTTTGGATGGAACTGTTTGTTTTTTTTCTTACTGATTTTTTTGAGTTCGTTGTAGATTCTGGATATTAGTCCTTTGTCAGATGTATAGATTGTGAAGATTTTCTCCCACTTGATGGGTTGTCTGTTTATTCTGCTGACTGTTCCTTTTGCCGTGCAAAAGCTTTTTAGTTTAATTAAGTTCCAACTATTTATCTTTGTTTTTATTGCATTTGCTTTTGGGTTCTTGGTCATGAAATCCTTGCCTAAACCAATGTCTAGAAGCATTTTTCCAATGTTATCTTCTAGAATTTTTACCATTTCAGGTCTTAGATTTAACTCGTTAATCCATCTTG